GAAGTTGATAGTGTACTCAATGTTGTGTGTGGATGATGAATGTTATAAAAGATAATAAATGTTTTGCTTTTATTTATTGACTAAATAAACTTTTTAAAATGTTAGGATAATGAAAATTCTTGATTGCTATCAGTTGTGAGATGTAAAATAATATAAGTAAAAAAATTAAAATAAAAACGATTAAAATGACGTTATTTAATTCTGATTGTTAGCCGATTTTTCAACTTTAAGGATAGATTTTAATTTCAATTAATTAAATTTTTCCGTTTAAAACTATATTTAATAAATCGATTAAGAAAAATTAAAATCAAATGAAATTTATCTTTTAAGTTAAAAAAAAAATTAGGTTTTTGTCAAATTCAACTAGCATTATTTTAATTGATTGTTAGTTAGAAAAAAAAACTGATTAAAAAAGCAAAATGTCAGTACAAACATTATAAATTGATAGTACAACTTTTTCTTGAGAGAAGAGTCGAGATCGATCTCCCCTGTGTCCTTGCTTAATTCTCTTCATTCATTAGTAATTACTTTTTTTTCTGTAAATTCTAATTTCATTCTCACTAAACATCTTCTCAATCATCAATTTTTGTTTAGCACTTTTTCTTCAACTACCCGGTGCTGATTCATTATCACATACAAAATGAATCAAATTCTTTTTTTTTCTTTTTGAAATAATAATCATCGACATGTGTTGTTATTAAAAATGAAAAAAGCAAACCCATCCTTATGCTGGAAAGTTTTGCAAGTTGTTAAATATGTTACCGAGCAGTTTTTTTGTTTTATACATCAACTACTGGTACACGAAATATGCTTGTTCAATCATATATTAAAAATTTATCCAATGCAATTAGATGAATGATCGATAGGCCATAAAGGTTGATAATCCATCTATCGGCTTTCTTCTCGACTCATCCCAGGCTATTCAGATCTCTGTTTTTGTATTACGTTTCAATGTAAAATAATCTTATGAATAGAACATTAGTCTTTCTAATATGCTATGGGTGTGGCCAGATGCACTAGATTTTCTTTTGTCGGTGCAGGATGGATTTAGTTACGAAAGAATTGAATGACACGCGAAGTTCTGATTTTTTTTTTCTTTCATAACAATATTAGATAAACAAAAGCAGCTTATATTCTAGAGTATTGCAGTAAAAGAAAGAAAAAGGAATGAAAGAATACGTAAAAATTTCTTTTGAAAGTATGTATGTGTTTTTTGAAATATTGTGTCAAATAATCACTTGTAGTTCTTCGAAGCATCGTGCAATAGCTGAAAATATTTTATTCATACTAATTATTATTTTCAATTTCCTACATGATGAGATTTACCAATAGATATATTTATTTCTTTCCTGATTTTTCTTCTACGTATTCAATAGTAGCAATATGATTTATTTTTCGCCTTATTATCTATCATTCGTCAAATTACCGTGGAACTTTTGAAACGTATATTAATCACTAATTAGTGCGTCATTTAATTTTCGATAGATTTTTGCGAAACAAGTACGAGAAACTTATTTTTCATAAGTACGAAATAACTGTAAAAATAATTAATGATCTTGAGAAAAATCAAATCAGAATTGTTCAATGTTTTGTGTATATTTAAGTTAGATAAATCTCTTCCATCGAGAATAATCTTAGTGGTTAAAGATAAAATCGAACATTCAAATCACATGAATTTTTCATAATATATTGGAGCTATAGTGAAAAAGCTAAGATAGAATTTTCAGTCATAAATTCTTGACGTTTTCGGGAGATATTCAACTAACAAGGATCAAGAATAGCGAATTTTGCAAACCAAAATTCTTTGTGAGCTTTCATTCTAAATATTTTTTTTTCTGTTTGAAAGAGTATTACAGAATCCTTCTTACTTTTCAAGAAGGAAGGAAAGTTCAATGACTCAAGTATGATGCTCTAATTATAAAAGTAGCACTCTTATATAATAGTAATAGAGTTTAATTCAAAAAACCGATCTTTCTCATGTTCGGGCATCTTGACATAGTCTTTCAAACAAAAGACAGTTATTGGCTATGATGAAGTTCCTTCAAGAATTTTTGGATTCATGATCAAAAAATAAATAAACAGAGAAAAAATGAGGTGTTAAATTAAAATGATCTCAATTTTCATATTTTTCACAAAAATTGTAATTATTCAGGCGATTGATGATGATTCAAATCAAACAGGTCAAATGGTTGCTGGTCTTCTTTCTTGGCCACAAGTAAATTATAATAATCATTAAAAAAAAAAAAAACAAATTATTTTATTTTTTTTTATTAGGCTGTATTTGCTTCAAAAGTTGATATTAAAGATAAACAAGCTGAAGTTGTACGTGAAATTGATGGTGGTTTAGAAACAATACGTGTAAAACTACCTGCTGTAATTACTGCAGATCTTCGTCTTAATCAACCACGTTTTGCTAATCTTCCATCGATACAAGTAAAATTTTTGATAATCAATAAAAAATAATTTATTTTTTTTTCCTGTTTTGTATTCTATAGAAAGCTAAGAAAAAACCCATGGCAAAAATGTCACCGAAAGATTTAGGTGTTGATATTAAACCTCATCTAGAATATTTATCTTATGAAGAACCACCTAAACGACAAGGTGGTGGTCGAGTATCAAGTGTTGATGAACTTATTAGTAAACTTAAAGAAAAAGGACTTATTTAGAAATAAACTTTTCCTTGGTTTTTTTTTATTATTATTCAGTCACAAACATTTGATTTTGAATACCTGCGAAAATTCTGTTTTTTTCAAGTATAGATTAAGATTTCTTTCAGATTCATTAACTGATATTGAAATACAATGTCGTATGAACAAGCTGTAAATCCACTTCGAAAATTCAAACTTGTTTTCTTAGGTGAACAAAGTGGTAAGAAAATTGAATAAAAAAAAAACAAAGGATAACTGATAAGTTAATTTTTTTTTTTACATGTTTTAGTTGGCAAAACTTCATTGATTACTCGTTTTATGTATGACAGTTTTGACAATACATATCAAGTAATTCTTGATTTTTATAGAGAATTAAGTTCTTTTTTTTTAAATATATTAAGGCTACAATTGGTATAGATTTCCTTTCTAAAACTATGTATTTAGAAGATCGAACTGTTCGTTTACAATTATGGTAAGATATTTTACTTCTTGAACTATATATATATATATATAAATCTCTTTGAATTTTTTTTGCATTAATATAGGGATACGGCAGGACAAGAAAGATTTCGGCAAGGACAAAGATGTGTTTTCAATTAATTTTCTAATATCTTTTGATTTTTTTTTGTTTTTAGAAGTCTTATTCCTAGTTATATACGTGATTCTACTGTTGCTGTAGTTGTTTATGATATAACAAGTAAGAATATTTTGATATGACAATGGAAAAAAAATGTGATTTTCAAAAAAATTGATTAGATTTAAATTCATTTCAACAAACAGCAAGATGGATTGAAGAAGTTCGTTCCGAACGTGGTAATGATGTTATTATAATGCTTGGTAAATATTTTTAAAATAAATTTTACTTTTTTTTTAATCTAATTATTTCTTTTAGTTGGTAATAAAACTGATTTAGCTGATAGAAGACAAGTATCAACAGCAGAAGGTGAAGAAAAAGCAAAAGATTTAGATGTTATGTTTATTGAAACAAGTGCTAAAGCAGGTTATAATGTTAAACAGGTACAATATTGTCATATTAATATATAATATGAACATGAATTGTTGTTTGTTTTTTTTTGTTAAGTTATTCCGACGAGTAGCTTCTGCTTTACCTGGCATTGATATACCTGATCCTGCATCTGGATATAGTAAGAGTAATATTATTAAGAAATTTGTATTCAAAATTCTTTTCTTTTAGATCATAATGTAAAACTTCCACCTAATGATCAAAAAGATGAATCAAATACTAATAATCAAAGTTATTGTCGATGTTAATTTGATATATGATATAATATTAAAGACAAAAAAAAAAAAGAAAAACACAACAAAAAGATATCTCGAGCTAAATTTTTTTTTCTTCTTTTCTCATTATTATTGAATATTGCTTTGTTTGTTTTTATTTATATTTTTCTATCATACACAATAACAGCAAATTTTATACACAATGCTTTTGTTTTTTTTTTCTTCGTTTGAGCTTATTTTCGGGAAAGAAATCTTGGTGTTTTTTCCTAGGTAAATTGAAATAACACAAATTTCCATATTTTATGCTATTTGCAGCTTTTTGTTTGTAAAGCAAGTTATTACTTGAGTGTATCTGAGTTCATGATCTTGTTTTTTTTGTTTTTAAATAAAATCAGTAATATTAACACTGTGTGCACTAATGTTAGTTTATAATATTATAGAAATCGAACCATAATCGAAATATCAAAAAAATTTTAATAACACATATGTTGATATTCTCATGATATAGAGGATTAGTATATTGATGCACTAATAAATTTTAATATTTACTATTGATTTCTTTCAATTATAACGAGTATGACGTCGTCGATGTTTTCATATTTAGTGATTATTTTCGGTGCTCTTATTTTAGGTAGATTGATAATTTGATTGATTTCATATATATATATATATATGCAAATACAATTTATTTCTTAGGAGTATTTTCTGCTAATCAAGGTTCTGTTCGAATCTGTAATAGAGGAGCATATGTAGCTAAATGTGGTCTAAATTCACGAACTGCCGATGGTCGTACTCGTTCATATGACACGGGAAAATTTCTAGCTGGTCAATGCTTTTCACTTGAACTACCGTATGAAGCTGTATGGGGTCAGGTTTGGTGTGATAATTATGTCTTCATTGGTATTACTAAACGTATTTTTCAAGAAGATTTTAATGCTCCATCTGTTCGTTGTTATGATATTACTGGAACAACATTTCATCCAGGAAGAAATGGACCAAATTGTTAATTAATATAATGAAAAATTAATTATACAATTTGTGTGTGTGTGTTTTTCAGTTTTAAAAGAAAATAAACGAACGAAGACAGCAACACTTGATATACATAAAAAGAGAAAAAGAGAGAGAGAGAGAAAGAAAAAAAACTATAATGAAATACAATAAAATTATTTAAAACGAACAAATAATTGTTCAACACGATTTTTAAAAGTTTTTAATATACCAAAATTAATTCGATTATCACTAAAATCAGATTCTGAATGTGTTGTTGTTGCTGATGATGATGTTAAACGACTCCATCGTCTTGGATGATGAAAACTAAATTCTATTCCAGCTATAGAATCTTGTCGTTGATCAAGTGACCATTTACCACTAAGTACAAGTTCAAATCCATCATTATTACCAAAATCTTGTAAACGTGTTTCACAATCACTATTAGTATTATGTTGTGGTATAGGCATATAGAAATATTTTGTACAAAAACAACATAATAAACGTGTTAATTCACGACGAAAACGTTTACCAAAAAATATATATAAATAACATTGTGATGCAGAATTAAATATCATTAAAAATTTACCAAATTCATCTAAATATTGAAATGAACGATAATGATATGATATATCAACATATTTATCCGGATCATAAGCAAAAAATGCAGCAAATGGTATGGACGGCATTATACAAACAAGATAAATTGAAATAACAATAACAAGCATATGTGTTACATCATTACGTTTTTGTTCATAAGGATTCATTTGTCGATAACGTCGTTTCGTTGTTGAAAGTGTATGTATAAGATGTAAATTTAATTTAAATACAACAAGAAATGGTATTATACGTACAAGAAAACAATTAACAAATAATGTTATTGTTAAACGATATGCTAATGATTTACCTATTTCACTTAAACTTGATACCCAAAATATAGGTAAAAATAATTCTGTTTGATTTGAATAATGATTATTATAATCAATTGATAAATTTATATGATCATTTGTTTTATTATATGAATTTACATTTGGCATAGCATGACATGAATTTGCTAATATTTGTGGTATTAAATATCCTAATGCTAAAGTTAAACATAAAATTAAAACAAATAATGCATTACGACGTGTACACATTTTTTCACCGGTAAATGGAAAACATATCATAATATATCGATCAACAGTAAAACAAACTGTAATCCTACAAAAAAATAAAATAAAATAAAATAAAACTTTATTTTTTTGGTTTGTTAAAAAAAAAATTTACCAAGTTGATAGAGCAAATGTACTTGAAGCAAGTGCTTTTGCTAATGCAACAAATATACAATTAAAACGGCTTGGAACAAATAATATTTCTAATTCAAATATAATTACCGACAATAAAGTGACACTATTTGATAAACATAATGCTGTTAAATAAGCGTAAGTTGAAAGAGTACGCATTCGTCGACGAAGTAATGTACAAACAGCTAATGTATTACCTGATTGAAATAAATAAGTTAATATTTAAAAAAAAATTAAAATAAAATAAAATAAATAAACTTACCAATAATACCAATCATACAAATAGATATTGTTAACCAACGAAAAGATGATCGTGGTAACCATGTGCCTAATCCACCATCATATAAAATATCATTCCATGTTAAATCAAATGATTCTTCAATATGTGAAGATAAATCTGATGATGATAATTTATTTTTTGTTATATTTATATGATTTATTTTGTTCATTGTATTATTTATTAATATCATATTAGAAATCATATATCTTGAATAGAATTCTTTTCTTTTTTTTTCTATTTTGTTATTTAATTCGATACAAAAATAGAATAATATAAATAAAATATTGTTCGTATTCCAGTCAGGTTTTTTTTTTTCTTCTTTTTGATGTCAAGAAGACCGGCTGTTACCAAAGAACATATGTCATTGTTATTGACAAAAAAAGAGAAAAAGAAAACAAAAGAATCGACTATGTAACAGATTGCTTAAACTTGATCGAGTTTCTAAAATAGTTTATAATAAATATTAATTTATCATGATTATTAATTTCTTTTTTTTTTAAGATAATGAATAAGAAAATATATGTATATGAAAGACATCTGAGAATTTTTTTTTTTCTTCTTTGTTCTCATATTATTAATAATTATAATTCTGATGAGCAAAAAAAGAAATTGAAATCTTTGTTAAAGACAAACAGTGAGTAGATCTATTCTTAGTTCTTTTTTTTTTTTTCTTCTATTCATATACAACGTTGGATTAACTAGATTGAATGAGAAGAATACAATATACTTAATTAGACAACCCGTGGCTCTTTTTTTTAAAATATAATGTAAAAAATAATGATGCTGAGATGTTTTTTTTCTATTTATACTCTTTTCTAAGTTCAAAACTGTTATGTCAATGTTTTTTTTAGTCTTTCACTTGATACTTTGTTTTTTCTATCGTATTTATATACTATTTTTGTGTTCTTTATCTAACGTTATATATAATCTTTATTAATTAAAAATTATCCATTATTATCGATAGATACTAATGTATAGGTTTTAGATCTGATAATATAAAAGATTTATATATTTTTAAATATTAATAAATAAAGAATTAGAAAAACAAAAAGATTTTGGATGTTTATTTCAAATATATCCGCTTTACAGGATTCTTTTAAAAACAAGTTCTCTTACCAGTGTAGTTGAACTGCTTTGAATTATTTCTAACTTGACTCTCTTCTCGTTTATGTCTTTAACTATTATGACTTTTATCTTGATTCTCTTTTATTTTATTTGTAAAAAGAATGTTGGCTAAGATGAAATTGTCTTTTATCTTTTTGTTTCTTTTCTTTTGGTCTCTCCGTTCCATCTTTTTCTTTTTCTAAAGAAATGAGCGAGTTGGAGCAGAAAAAATATATATAAAAAGACAAAAAAAAAAATATGTATGCATCAACTAAACTATTTTTAGAATATCAGTTCATCTATGAGTTATATATAATAGACATTCATATCTTCTATAAAACCTAATTATATCATCAAAAGGCAACTTTCTTTTTTTTTCCTATTCTATTTTTAATACTCATTTTTTTCCTCATTTGTTGATTATATGAATTGATCATACCTGTAGAAAAGAAAAAGATTACAAAGAATAAATGTATTCAAATATAAATTAAATATTATATTTCTTATTTTCTATATTTAATTTTTTTTGTTAATCTACGAATTTACTCATAGAACTTACTGCACTGCTTTATCTCAGCTAAAATATTTTTATAAATAATCATCATGCCAACATAGATATAGATATATATAGATATATAGATATATAGATATAAACATAAGACAAAAAAAACATGTCTAATTCCATTTCCTTTGCATTCCTATTTAGAATAATTGACGAAAATAAATACTGAGAAAATCTCGTTACCACTATTGACGATGATGAATTATTTTTAGAAGTTTCTATTCTATGTAATTAGAATTGAAAAATAAGATTCTCTTAATGAGACATAAGATGAATGATGTGAGAGAATCGGTTATTTTTGCTATTTTTACCTGTAAAAACTTTTTCTCTCTCTCTCTGTCTCTCTTGCATCTCTTTTATGTCTTCTTTCTTGATGTTTCTTCCGGTCGTCGAACATCAACTATGAATATGAAGATATTTTTAGCCAATTTTTTGTTTTCTTTTCACTCTTTCTATTCTATCTATAAAAGTTTTATCGTCGTCTCTCAAAACAAGAAGCAAAAGGTCATGAAACAAAAAAGTACTTATTATTAAAGAAAAGCAAATTAAAGAAATAATGATTATTACAGTGAATTATTTGCAATTAGTCAATTTTTTTTATTATCAAATAGAGAAATAATCTAATATCGAGAGAAAATAACAAATAATAAGTTTAATTTCATGATCGATTAGCTTCAAAATCTAAATAAGCCGTACATATGTAACGATCTATATATATATAAATATTAATGCACGATAATCAATTTTGAGCAAAGAAAAGAAAACAAACAACATACTACAAAAATAGAATATATTTTTCTGTTATAATGTTTTATGTAAAATACATAGTACACAAGGACTCTCAATCTGCTCAAAAATTTATTGCGATCATAGGACAAAAAGAAAAGATTGATTTTGTATTGTCATAAATGTTAAATCATGCATTCCCTCATTTTTTTTTTTGTATGAATACATTATTTACGCACAAATGTATTTGTTAAAGAGAAAAACTATTAAAAAAAAAGAAATTAAAAAGTGTTGATTACATTTTTTTTGACACAGTTGCTAATATATGCTCGAGTCAATATGATACTCTTTAACATACTTTTATTCCTATTATAACAATGAAAATTACCTAATAGCGGCTAGTTCATTCCATCAGACATATTAAAAATAAAACTCAAAATAGTTTTAAGATCCAGGTATATATATATATACATCTTCTTACTATTTGTAGACAATTATCTTAATGAAAGGATAAATTGCTAGAATGACACAAATTAAACGTAAAATCATTTTTTTTCAATGGCGTAGTTCTACACGTTCGTTTGTTTATTGTTAAGAATGTTGGAAGAATAAAAAAAGAACATTCTACTCACTCAGATAATTAAGATATATCTATATTTCTATAATAAAAACTTGTTTGGTGTATATAATTATTGAAAAATATGCATATATACAATAAAACTTTCGAATAACATTCTTTTTGAAAATGAGAATCGCTCAAAATAAAAATGTATACATACACAGAAAAAACAACCCAGCATGAAATCTTATCTTGCTATCAAAGCTGAATACACAGCAGGAAGTTAAATACATACCATTGACTAACAGAAAGAATTTCTGTTTTTTTATAAATGACTGAGTAAATTCTTTTGATCTGTTTTTTCATAAGAAATAATAACAACATAAAAAAGAAATGAGAAGTAAATTCTTTATATGCTGAAGGTAGTTTCCCATTAATGATTTATTATGTTTGGACTGTTTGTTCGGAATGTTAAATTGCAAAGATCTGGAGGTTAATAAAAATAGCAGAAGAGAAAGAATAGCAATCTTTTCATTAAACTTATTGTCATGCTTGCATTTATCGTATTTTCACGAGGTTTGATATATAAACGTGCCGCTCAGCCGATTCAATTCATTAAAGTCAGACTAAATTTTCCAATTCAGGGCTTTTTTTGCTGATATAGAGGGGTGACCAAGATTATGGGAGAATGATTCAGGAAGTCGATTGGAAGGTTTTTGATAAAATTGACGAGATTTCGAGCGCTTTTTTGAGAATTGCTGAACAAAAAATGAATAAAAATTCGCTGAAGTGAAACAAAAATTTTTCAAGATGAAGAAGGAGGTGTGATCCTCCTCGTTCAAGACATACCTGCGAATATAGATAATTGTAATAAAAACATAAAATATCAAAAGAGAACTTCGTCAATAAAAAGTGTTTCTAAAACAACTTAAATTCAATCAAATGTACTATATGATTCATTTGAATGTTTCTTTTAAATTTACTAATTGAAATAAATCAAGTAGAAACATAACAACGATATCATGAATGATAGAGAAAAAAATAATATTCTTTTTGTTTATTATTTTCTCTTTATCATACAAATAAGTATTAGTGTTAATAGAATAATTGACATTTTTTTTAAATTTATTTATATCTTCTACATCAAAACAAACTCAACAAAAATGCAAACAATAATAAATGAATTATTTACTTTCTTCGTAATATACACTCTATAGAAATGTATATTTGAAAATTAACCCTTTAGGGACCTATCTCAAAAATACTCTACTAATGTCGTTTCAGTAAGAACAAGTATTGTAATTATGATAGTAAATAGTTTTCAGGTTATAACTAATTTTGACAGTACAGCTTTACTTCTTCTATAAAAAAAAACAAGTCAGTCCTCAAAGGGTTAATAAGGTTACATATTTCATAGATATCAAAATTACATAAACTAAATTCGTCATATGATATCATCGTAGTATTATTAAGAATACGTCATTTGCATTCAGATTAACAGAAAAACAGATAGAAAGAAAAAAAAAACATTACTATTCAATGATTCTTTGCAGTTAATTGACATATTAGCCATGGTTAATGTATAGTCAATATAATGATGAGCACAGGTCATCAGAACATTTTTCTTTACAATAAATGAATTCTTTTTTCTTAGAGTCTTGTTACTCAATTCTGTTTTTGAATTAAATATAAGTCGTAAAAAAAATATTAGACAAAAATGCCACTTTATACTTCTAGTTCATTGTTATGGGTTAAGTCACGTCTGTTCTATGATAAAATTCCACGTAAATCAAACTTATCTGCCATTTTTCATTATTATTTCAATGGCTTACCAAGGAAAAAAACAGCCAATGTGAAGAAAAATTTCCCATAGCTTAAAAAAAAACGACTGTATTAATCAAATATATGTCGATAAAAATATTTCTTTGCAAAGAAAAAAGAAACCAAACGTGCAATTAATCATAAAGATTAATAACATAAAAAAAGAGAACTAACTATTTCAAATAATATTCTATCAACTATCATTAAGATCAAAGCATAATTATTTGGATAAATACCATATTACTTAAAGATAATTAGAAGAAAATGATTACTTATTATATGATTGATTCATTTTAAGAAAAAATCAATCTATTTTTTCAAGAAACTATATTTCTATTCTATATACAACACATGACAACATATTAATTATGTAGTAATCAATGAAGATAACAAATAAACTATTCAAGATAATTGAATCATGCAATGATCT